TGGCCTGCCAAAAAGAGGACACCTTTGCAAAACTTCCTCTTCTTGGTTTTGCCACTATGGTAAGAGGGTTGGGGCTAGCAGATCTGTGTGAAGGACCCAGGTGATTTTATGTAGTGATGCCAGGGACCTCACTAATAGGGGATATTGTTGCTGTGTACAAGTGTTGGAGATGTTCCCAAACAAATGGCAGATCTTCAGAGCCTTGGGCTGATGCTGTGAGGTGGCAGTATATATGATGGCTGCTGCAGTGTTAGGGTCAGTTAGTGCACTTCCCATTCCTTCTTGCTCTGGGGAGGACTGACACAGCTGCTGTTGTGCTTGCTTGGTTTCTTAGTCTGTGGGTGGGAGAAATGACCAATGTCTGGTCCCAGGTGTGAGAAAAGCAAGCTACACAGGGGTTTGTGAGGATGTCTGAGCAGCTTTTGCTCAAATGAGCTTGGGCCAGCAGGTGGAGCAGTAAATAACTCCTGACACAACAGGCATGCCTGACTGCTGTACGCGTTGTCCTGGATAAGTGCCCCTTTCTGTCCTTCTCTTTCTCGCAGAACTGCCCCAACCAGTGGCTGGAGACAATTCTTCCAAAATACATGATCATGTAGTCCAAGGCTAGGGAGATAACTGATGGTGTGCACAAACAATTCTTGAAGAGCCCATTGTCCATATTTTTTATGCAAAACTCCTGCATTTAAGAGGAAAGCACCTATAACGTGAGTGGACCAATAGGGACAGGAGACCTTTCCTGATGGTCTTTGGTGGATGTTGATGCTGTGGGTGGCTTTGCAAGCCCATTGGGGTCTGGAATATGTTTAAAGGGCAGGTTGGATAGTGTTTGGAACAGCTTGTTTTAGTGGGAAATGTCTCTGCCTATGTCGGGGGGTTGGAACTAAACAAACCTTAAGGTCCTTTCCAACCCAAACCATTCTGTGATTCTATCAAATCTCCAAAGCAAAGCACCATGAGTAGTGCAGAACAGCCTCTGCCTGTTCCTTGCTGAGGATCCAGACCCTTGACCAGTACTAAACAGAGGGGCACTGTTCCTCGTGCCAATTCTCTGCTGTCTGAAATCCATTGTGCTCAGTGCCTATGGATTCCCCTCATGGAATCCTCAGCTATTCCTGGCCTGGCAGAAAATAGCTGTGGAGGTGTCCTTGCTTATATGTGTGGTGGCAGCCTGCTCTCAATGAACACAGCCGGTGTCAGGAGCAGAGCTGTGTTCTTGGGCTCAGTTACTACCTCTTCTGAATCATTATGACCTTTTCCCTTTGGTGTTGTAGGGTGCCTGCTCCATGGTGCTGGTTGCAGTTTCTAGAGCTGCATACCCAGTACCAAGGTTTTTCAGCTTGACCTTCCTCTAGGGATTTAGCCATGCTTCTGAGGAGTTTAACTGTCTTTTGCGTTGTGTAGTGGAAAGTATGCTCATTAACAATGTTCTATTTAAAATACAAAGCAAATGTAATTATGGTGAGAGGTGTCAGATGACAGGGACTGGGAAATATTTGTACTATTCAGAGCCTGAGCAGATGCAGGGCGACCTTCCCCAGCTGCTCAGGGTCTTCAGTCTCGCTTTGCCAGTAAAGGAGGAGCTCGGTGGTGTGACATGATGGCGGTGCAGTGGTTTGCGTGGAGTGTTTCTTTTCCTTAGGTGAACAAAAAGATAAGAGGAAGCAGCCTTTTTTGAGGAGCTTTTCCCAGGATCAGAGCTCTGAGTGTGTGTTACTAGCATGGAGGCAATAGGTTGAAACAAGGTCAACCTTTAAATGGTTTGGAGGCAAAGTAGGAGGTTTTCCTGCGCAGCTACAGATGAGGCACCAGAGCTCTTCAGGCATTTCCGAAGAGTGCTTTTTTGTTGGTTGTCGTTTGTAAGGGTTTATTGATGAAATCTAAGCTGTAAGAGAGGGTGTGGTTTGTTTCTCAATTAAAAAAAAATTAATAATTTCTGAAGCATCTTGTTTTAGATATAAAAAAAAGAAAAGAAATTACTTGTTTTAGCTGAAATAGGCTGGTATTTAAGTACTTTGCCATTCTTTAGAAATTACTGAATTATTTAAGATGGCTCCAAAATGTGTTTGTTTTACAAGAACGTAAACATTTTTTCACATACCTGTCTGTCTAAATTTGGGGTGAGGATTTTTAGAAATTATTGAAACCTGTGGATAACAAACATTCATTCTCTGTGAAGTTCTGTTGAAATACTTAGAGACTCAGTCTCAGTTTACTGGAAAAGGAATATTCTCTTTGTTTTCATCTGTTTTGCCTGTAAAAACTATTTCTGCTTTAGTTTTTGAGGGGAGTAGTGTAGATAGTATTACCTTGTTTCCTTGCAATTAGAATTCAGAGAAATAAACTCAGGCTGGTTATGTCTCAGTCTGGCATTTTGTTTTAAAAATATGAGTTTTTAAAAAGTGGTTTAAAAGAGTCTCCTCCTGCAATGATTACAAGTCATTCCATTTTGTTACTCATCTGGGCTTGGGCCCCAGATGTTTTAGAAATTTATAAAACCTGCAATTTCTGAAAGGAAAATATAATGCAAATTTCAGCCTTTCCTTTAGGGCTCCATCCAACCTTGGACTAGGCTGATTATTTAACTACCTGTCAATGCAGTGTGACAGGGCACTGTAAAAAGGAGGCTGACAGCATACATGGTGAAATGTTGTTTCTTGTTTCCTTTCCCAGCAACCGAGATCCACAGGTTCTGGGCAAGAAGAACCACATGGAGCCTGTGTGTATTTGAAGTATGTGGAAGAACAGTAGGGTGTCTAACAGTCCCTTAAGAAATGCTCTCCAGGCTGAGTCCTTGTAAACAACTTGTTTTAATGTATCTCTCACTTTTTAATTACTTTGTAAGGCTAAGATTAATAAATTGTCTTTTTTTTCTTTTTTCTGAGCCCCATTTCTTCTATCAGGGTTTTTTTCCCATTGTGTGTGTAGCAACCACAACAGCCCCCTGTAAACTACCTGCTGGCATAGGTCTCTGGGCAGGGTGTAATTCAGGGACTCATTTGGCCCTGTCTAGCAGCATGGTGAGGGACTTAAATGAAAGATTTTTTTTTTTTTTTTGGGAGGGGGAAGCCTTAAAAAGAGGCAGCTGCTGTTCTAATGGCTGGAGTTTATTCTGGTGCCAGCCACCCCCACTGCACCTGTTGGCATTTGAATTATGATCATTTTGTGCATAGCACCCTAGTAAGGTAAAGTTGGCTTTTCATAGAACAAGCTGACACTCAGATGGGATTTAAGGAAGTTTCCTGAACACTTAAGGAAAAGAGAAGAACTGTATTGAAGGGTGGGGATGTACCAGTGACAATACTTCCCTGAACGATGGCTATTCCCACTGTCACTGCAGAAGAGATAATTTGACTCCTTTTCTGTGGCCCAGGCAATAATGGCTCCAAGGCTGGTTCCCTGACACAGAGACTTTTGGAGTGGCTGATATTTGATTGCTTTTTCTAGTCGTCCACAAAGCTATAAATACTGTCAGTAGCTAGGATCCTTTCCTTATAGTGTTGTGGACATGCTGATGCAGTTTTAAAGAGGAGATGGTGTTGGGAAGACTGGCTCTGCATGGCCCCCTACCCAGGCTGATTTTGGGTTTTGCGTGGTGTACCAAGGCAGGTACCACCCTGGGAGCTTTTCTGACACCAGCTCTCCTCCCAAAAATGCTGAAGTGCTGGTATAGGTAGGGGTTCCCTCATTACTCCTCCCTGTCCTCAAAGAATTTATTTTGTGAAATACGATATACAGAGAAAATGAATGCTGAGTGTTGCTTTGAGTGGGTTTGAACAGCTTCAGAGGAAAAAAATACTTTATAGCCAAAAAGTGATCACAAGGATTTATTGATGTTTTATTTTTCTGAGATTTTACGTTGTTTCAATGCAAGCAACATGGACGGAGGTGCTTGGAATAGATGGGTCCTGATGGTCATGGTTTATCCCATCTAGCTTGTCTCAGTGAAAGTTCAGGTTTGTTAAATGAAAAGTGTAGAGAGACAGAGGTGATACCTGTGGCTGTACTGGTAAAAAGTGGTGGGGTTGGAGGCACATCACCCAGTTTTATGCAGTTTCCATGTTGATGGTGACAGACTGAACAAGCATTTCAGGCAAATCTTGAGTGCCATCTGGTCTTCTTGCATGGTACCTGTTCTGGGAAGGAATGAGAGAGTTGGACTTGAAGTCAGCCCTGGCTGAAGAAACACAAGCAAAATTGCAAACTTGCCTATTGATTTCTATTTTGATGTGTGTGTTTTTTCATACAAGGATTAGGAATTTTTCTTTCCCGGACTAGAGTAACTGACAAGTTAAACAAGCCTGCAGACCCACAATATTTTGTTTGCATTTTTAAGACATCTGCTGGGTTTTTCTTTGGACAAAACAGCAGCATATAAAGGGGTTTTTTGTTGCTCTTTTTTCCCTACCTATAGAAGAATTGTTAAATGACTGGGTACTTTTGAAGCCCTCTTGACTATTGATTGTGACTGTTAGAATACTCTTTTTCATATGACAATTTTGTTTGAAGAGCTGTTCTCAGTAGTTAACATAAATATTCAGGCTACACTGTCTTTACAGAAATCAACACATTATCAGAAGGTGTTGCTTTGATTTCCTTTTTTTTTTTTTTAAACGAAATGTCAGCATGCTTATAGTATGTTTCAGGCTGTCATTTTGCATAGCTTAATTTTGCATACTCTAATTTTGTATGGCAACAGGTTTAGGGTGATCTTGAAGCCTGAGTGTTTCCATGCTCACTAATAAACTGCATGTTTTGTTCACATGTTGGGTATGCTTGAAAAACCCACTACACAGTTTCTAGGCAGTTATAGAGCTATGAACAAAACCCAGGAATACTTACTCCTGTTTTATTTGCTCTTGGACAAGGATGTAATTTTGTTATATTTGTATCATTGGGGAAATGGTGTCACATTCACTTTGTAACCTAGATCTGGCCACAGGCACATGGAAGCCTTTAAACATAACAAGCAGACAAGTGTAAGAATGAGAAGAACGTACCCTTTGGTGTCAGGGGAAGCCCACTTAAACCGACAAGATGTGCTTTACAAATGCTGTAAGAAAACACAGGTTAGTTAGAAGGAGCAGCAAATGTTATTTTGGGAAATATGTTTTAAAATAACAGCTGTTCCTGAGCTGATGGCATTAAAAACATATGTTACTGAAGAGATTTGACCCAGCAATGTGAGAGAAAATTCTAATTGTTTAATGTTGTACAACTCAAATTCTCTTCCTGCTTAAGTATGATAAGACTAAATATATGACAAATGGAGCACTTTGTCTAAGCATCAGGTATAGGATTGGTTCCAATCACTGCAACTGCTCTACAGAATGCCAGAGTCTGGAGACCTGGTGTTGAATGAAGTCGCCTTTTCCACTGTGGCTGAAGCTAGTATTTTGGGTGCTGTGACTGCAGAGTAAGTGTAGAGTGACTGTGGCTCTCATGCATAAGCCTTTCAACCTAGCTCAGCTCTAGCTTTTTCTGACTGATTTCCTTGAGTAGCTAAAAGCCAACTGCAGTTAAACTCTGTGAGAAAGAAGAAATGTAGGATGAGAAGGTGGACCTACCCTCATAGTTGATGCAGCCATTGGAGTCTTCCTGACCTTTCATGAGTTCTTCTACTTCCTCTTCTGTCATCTTCTCACCTGGAGAGCAGACAGAGCTTGGTTAATTCTTCTGCAGTCTCACAATTGAGGCTGAATCCTACAGTTTTTCCAAAGGATTTTTTTTTTATTTTCTGAGCTAGTAACAAAAATATCTATACAAGAACCCATCTTCATTACTTTTAACTTTCTTTACAAGTTCTGCACATGCATATGGACACAGATTCTAGTTATTCTTACTGAAGAAGCTGTGCAGCAAATCCTCTACCTTTGTCCATGTGTATGAGGCATATACAGCCTTTTATCTCCATTCCTCAAATAGGTACTTCTAATGCCTAGTTCAATTTTAGAGGTAATAAACCAACCCTTTTTCTTTGGGCTTTCTACTGGGTTTTGGTTTTGCTTTCCTTGTGGATTCCCAGTTAGGAAACCCAGAGTCTTATCTGGCTTTGTAGACTTTGGCCTCTCCAGGCTGGTTAGAACACCTTTACTCTCTCAGGCCTTGAACAGCTGCAGTTTCTGAAGTGCTCACAGAGATGACAATCCCTTACCCAGAGTAGCCAGTACGTGACGGAGTTCAGCCCCCATGACTGTGCCATTGCCTTCCTTGTCAAAGACACGCAGACCTTCAACAAAGTCTTCATAGGTACCCTGTTCCTTGTTGTTAGCAGCTGCTTGCAACATGGGCAGGAACTCTTCAAAAGTAATTTTCTTGGCATTCATCTCTGGAAAGAAAGCACTGGTTGCTACATCCTAAACACTTCTGTGTGTTCTTTTGAGATATTTGCTCTGAAATACGGTAGAGCCTCCCACCTCATCTGCACACCTCTCTTAGTCTTTGCCTCAAGGATTTGGCTGTTCCTTTGCAGAATCTGGTTTCTCTCTTGTCATGAGAGTTTGCTTCACATCCATCTTGATTTTTCAAACCCTTGCTCTAGGCTTCTTCTCCCATTACTATGCTTTGTGTATGTTGTATTTTTCTTGCTGTACAAGATGATATTGCAAGGATTTTAGGATGTGTATTTTACAGAATCCAGTAGGACAGAAATCTTGAGACCCCACAGAGGTAAAAGGTAAGTAGAGTGTGGTGTTTCACATTAAGCCCCTGAAGTTGCTGACGTGTTATTCACCTCTGTAGAGCCTTTAGGATGTGGTGCCAGAGGCTATTAGCAAAATAATAAACTAATATAAAATAGAATTGTCCAGTGGGAATGGTGTCCAGATTTACCATTGACATGGTCATTGTGGCAGTTTAAGGACTCACAAGCTTAGTGCATGTAACTCTTTTGTTGTCATGGGCCAGAAGTTGTAGTCCTCAGTGAGGCCTACCTTGAATAATTTTACTGGAGTAAGACTGCCAAATAAAAGGATTTTTTTTTCCTTTTTTTCCCTTCAGCCTTCATCTAAGCAGCAACGAAATACAATAGATGGAAACATGCAAGAGATTTTTGAATGTATATTCATTACAGAAACTATTTTACTACCCAGCTATATCAAAACCACTGTTGGTTACTGCTGCTGTTACTTAAAGTACTGTCATGGTCTCATCTCTGTGTTAGTCCTCTACTCAGTGGTTTCTGCTGGTGATAATGGTGTGTGGTGGTGTTAGGTCATAGGTTGGACTTGATGATCTCAGAGGTCTTTTCCAGCTTCAATGATTCTGTAATGCTTCCCTTGGCTCTGCTGAGTTGATCCTCAGAGTCATCTTTACTAAGCCTGAGGGTCTGGATATAATTTAGCCCATTCTAATATAGTTCTGAAGTTAGGCATCACCTAGGTCCTTGTTAGGCAGATGTGACTATGATATTTACCATGAGAAAAGGAAATGGAAGTTTTCTGCTGTAAGAAGTGGCCAGCATGCCCAGGTTTGTAGGAGCTTTGAGCAAATTGCCCCAATTAGCAGAAATAGGTGGGTTTTGAGTCCCAGGGCATGTCTTGGTTTATGCAGAAGATCCTACATTGGAAGGACCTGGAGAGCTAAGTGTCAGCTGTTGGAAATGGACTTATATATCCTCAGCACAGGCTGGGACATAGATGGTCTGGGAGCAGGAATAAGATCCTGTTACACCTATACCTAATTACCACCAAAATGATCCCTGCAGAGACTTCTCCATAGTCTAAAGAGAAGGTCAGAAGGAAGATGTTTCCAGTTTCACTTATTGCACTGTACTTCTCTCTATTGCTTTGATGGTGTAACCCAGCACACTGTGTTCCCCAATCACCATAATCCTCTTGAAAAGGGGCTGGAAAAAGGTCATGTCTTGTTGCTGCAGTGTCCCTCTTGCTCCCCATCTGAGCAGAAGCTGCTCTCCCTCCTGCTATGACTATATCAATGTTGCCTAATCAGAGCTCCCCAGCCTCAAGAAGGGCCAATGAGAGACTGCTGGGTACTTACCCTCTTTGCTGGGGTTGCCCAGGATCTTGTTGATCTCTGCATTTGTTGGGTTCTGCCCCAGTGCCCGGATGATATCGCCAACCTGGCTCAGGGTGATTTTGGCATCACCAGTCCTGTCAAAGAGGAGGAAGGCCTCCTTGAAGTCTGCAAGGGAAGAGCAACAGTTAAATTAAGCCAGGCAGCTCCCTATTGACAAGTTGTATGGAGCAAGATGTGAGCCTGTTGTCTCCTGGCACTGTTCCACCAACTCTGGGGAATTAGCCAGGGGAGTCTTTAGCCCACGATCCCAAGAAATGCTCTTCCCCTCTGACATTTTAGTTTCACTATTTTTAAACGTTTATATCTACCTTTCATAGCTTTCCTGGCTCTAATGGCCACCCATAGCTTCATGATTGACCCAGTAGGTATTTCAAGCATGAGGAAAGATAAGCCTTACACAAACATTGCCATTCAAGAACAGGTTTCTTTACATGATACAGCAGCAGAAGGTAAAAATGTTAGTATCCACCCTACCGTATCTCACTAGAGGACTGGAAATCTTTTGTCTAACAACCTGCCAGTGCAAAACATCTGCCTGCTTTGATGGCTCCTGCCTGCAATCCCAGCATCTCAACTACACAGTACTAATTGGAAGCTTGGAGATGGATTTCAAATGCTTCTACTTTTTTTTTTTTTTTTCTGTTAGACTTGACTTGCAATTACATTTCTGTTTGTTCACCCTTTGTCTGCCCTTTGCAATCTGTCCTTGCTTCTTACAGATCCATGAATGTCCAGCTTTTTCAGTGATATTACTTGTGTGGTGCTTTATTGCAGTGCATGTCCAGTGCATACACTTTGAGACTTTTTTCAGTGTTGCCAGGTTGACTTTTTCTTCTCTTACTCTTGACCAAGAACTTGAGATACAAACACTTCTAAAAAAATCAGCACAGACAGCTGCCTTCATTGCATTGCCAGTCTTCTGTTGCAAAGTTCCATCTTACTATATTTCTCAGCTAGAGTATTGGTTGCAATTAACAAAGAAATGCATTTTTTAAAAAGGGAGTGGGCCCAAAAGTTAAGGGTCTAGCTAAAAAGCTGTCTTTGAACCTAATACATCAAGAGTGTCTTGGACTGCGATATTGATGGTTTCTGCACTGCAGTGTCTGATGATGCTGTGTTTTAGCTTCAAGTAAAGCAGGTGAAATGCCTTTCCTTTGACTGTGATGCACTTTCAGCAGCTTGACAGGCTTTGTTTTGCAGCATGTGTAGGTGGAATGCTCTTTGTGCCTCGGGGCAGATTTAGGAGCAATAAAGCACATTTCAAATGTCTTCACATGTCTTCACATGTCTTCATTGATCTTGCACTGGAGAGGTGTGTTGCAGGAGTGTTTAGGCTCTTGCTGTAGCCATCCATATGCCACCTTGGTGGAGGAGCTGCTGGCACCCTGCAAAACTGCTGATACAAGATGTCAGCCTGCTAGGTTGTAATCTAATACATCTGAAACTAATCCTCCTACTGTCTGATGTGAGAGACCTACAACCCTTGATTACTAACCTGCTCCCCTTACAGCTTTTATTGCAGGGTATGAAATCAAGGCTGCCTGGACCTGTTAGAGCTTCCCCTTACACCAAATTGATATGGGCTCCTGCTCTAGCACCTGAGGTCATTTGAGCTGTAAAGATTTATACCATATGATTTAGTCTTTCTTTTTGGTGCATTAATGACGTTTAGTCAGAGGGAGGTATAAAACAATGCCAGTTGGCTATTGGCAAAGCCATCAGGGGAGTTGTCTGGGTGGTAAATCCCATGAAATTTTATTCTTACTGGGTTCTGAACATGGCTCCCCATCTTGGGGAAAAGGCCTGGTTTTATTTTTGTGTTAATTTTGCTGTGAGCTTTTAGTATTTATTAAAAATCTAGCCAGTCCTAGTTTATATCTTTGCTGGAATAAGCGTGTCTAAAATCCTTCTCTGAGGAGGGTGCTGCCCAGTTGCTGGTGCACCAGCCTGTGTGGATGGAAATAATTACTGAGGGTGGAACATGGCGGTTCCTGGGAAATCCTCCCTCTCTCAAGTAGCTTTTAATGGCTCTGCTGCCTGGTTCAGTCAGCGTGCCAGGAGCTGGGTGATTTGAAATATCTGTGGAAGCTGAAAGAAGTATTTTGTGTTGTCATGCATGCTGGGAGCTTGGAATTGATGGTATTTTCCTATGAACCCTCCCAACCCTTTAATAAAATTTTTAGAATTAAGAAGTACAGAAGAGTCCAAATGATTTTATTTGGGACCAGGAGGGTTTGGTCTGCAGAAAGAGAAATGTCTCCATTCTTACTGCTCTATGTCTCTCCCTTTTGCTTTGATGGTATAAACACCCAGTGCAGGCTGGTGTTGAAGAAGTTTAGGGCTCTCTCAAGACATCCTTTTAGCTATTCTCTTTCTGGATTCTAGTTAATCCTTGTATCTTCCATTGTAAATACTTGGTTCACATTAAGAAGCCTGCTATATTTCCTACTCATTGTTTGACTTTAAAAAAAACCCTTCCATTATTAATTATAACCCAAATGCATATCTCAGTGTATTTAAAACACTCCAGCTTAGATTTAAAGATTTCAATGGGGATTTTTGTTTTTCAGAATTTTAATTGGATTGTTGAAGATTGAATAACAATTTATATTGGAACTTGCTGGTAGCCTGTGAAGCAGGGGATAGTGAGATGGTCAAGAATTGCAGCATATCCAGATGGTTTACATGCAACAGTATTCACAGTAACTTATTTTCTAACTATTTCCATGGTTCATGGCTGCTGTACTGTAAATACATTCTTTCTTCTTCCCCTTAGAGCACTTCCTGGCAAAAATGACATGCAGGCCTTTTGCATCTTCTGTTCAAGTAAATTTGCAATGTCTCTGCAGCTAAGTTAAATTTTCAGCTCACTCCTCCCTTCTGTTTTCCATCTGCCTGTTTTCCCCTCAACTTCCAAATGCAAGACCCATTTTCAGCATCCTTGTGAATGGGCAGTATTTGAGCACAACTGAAATATGTTCAGTAGGGAGATCTGGTAACACCAGCCTATTTCTTCCTCATGGCATAAACTTCTCAGCTTGGGCAGCACATCAGTACCCAGATAAATTGCATGTGAATCTCCAGTCAGGTTTTTAAGCATGAGTCAGCACTGCTCCTCTCAAGTCAAGAGTGTGGTGATTTATCCCAGCTGAAATACTAGCTCATCTTTTTGTAAAGGTTAATCATCTTTTTGTAAAGGTTAAACTTCAAGCCTGTAGCTTTTCTCTGAACCCATGTACATGTAAAACACATTTGCTCTCTTGTAACTTACCATCCTGTTGCTCCTTGGAGAACTCGATCTGTTAGAAGGAAATCAATCACAAAAAACAACTTAGGAAGGGGGGGCTGGGGGAGAACCTGCTTGTTTTCTAAAGCATCCACGTCAATCCATGAGTCAAGTCCCAAAACAGCAAAAAAGTGTGGTCTGTCAGATGTGCAGAAGTAATGCAGATAGCAAAAGAGCTGTTAAGACTAGTGAGTTTTTAGCATTTGGAAGCGATTATGTCCTCCCTCCTTCCCCCATTGAAGTTTAACTTTTGTTTCACTTACCATTAATTTGGTCAGGAGTGAAGGACTGCAGTTGGGAAGAAAAAGAGAGAAAAGAACCAATACTGCTGAAAATGCACTGAGAGAAAGCAAATAGCACAAAGTAGCTGAGCACTCTCACCTCTGTCTTGCCTAATGTAATTAGGCCATGGCAAGCTAAACTAGAAACTTCCTTTGTAAAAGTGCATCACCAGATCTGTTTTTAAAGATTCCATTAAAATCTGCATCCCAGGGAAAGCCAGGGCAGTGGGTAAAAGCAACAAAAATCTCAAGTCTCTTAACTAACAAAGTTGTCAATGTACCATGGAGTCATTTACTGTTGTTAGTAGAGACCCATTTTATTAAGACCATTTGAAGTAATATTATTTTAAAAGCAGGTTTCTTAAATTAACATAAAATTGAACCAAACCCCTATAATTTGTTTTTCAAATTAATTTTTGACACAACATTCTTTATAAAGTACTAAACCATGATATTTTCTTATATAAAAGTATTGCTCTTTTCCTTTGCCACTTCAGCAGCTTCCATCCAATTTAAACAATCAAGTAGTAGACAGCACTAGCTAATAGTAGCCCTTCTGTCTGAAGCTACAGGTGCTGCAGATCTGCCCTTACCCCATGCAGAACTTGAGGCTAACTGGAAAACCTCCCACAGTCCTTGACCTTTAAGGAGGAAAGCCAAGCAAATTGAACTGTCTTCAGCACTGTCCTTCCCCCCACTAGAAATAACTTGAGCGAGAAGCCCAGTTTACTTCTGTGAAGTACCCTGACTTGCTGCTAACCATTAGTTTTTTGGTGGACCCACCATGGTTGAAAGTTGGAAAAGTTCAGCTGCAGACAGGCAGGAGGGACTAGCTGAGAGGTCTTGAGAGTGGTCCTGCTTTCTTGGCCTTTCTTCCCCTTATTTATCCAGTGGTGCTGACGGCATTGCCTGGATTAGGTGTCAGAAGGAAGGAGTCCCTCCCCTTGGCGAGTTCTTTAGCTTTCTTAGGGCAAAGTGACAGGAGGCTCCATGTCTTGATGGACGCCTTATGATGGCTATTTTTAGGAGGCTGGAGAGGCAGGGAGTGGTAAGCAGTAAGTTTGATCCGTGTCAGCACTTTCTGGGTCTGTTCTGTCAAGAGGGGATATTCCTTGTCCAAACCTACTGAGACTTCCCTGTAGGGAAGGATTCTATTTCTCCAATAAGCTAAGAAGTCAGCAAGCAAGATGTGCTGGGGGTGAGAGCTGCCACGTGTTGGTCCAGCTGTTTTTTTGTGTGGCTTGCAGGATGTGTTTGGTACAGCTGGATGGTCCTTCTACCTTTGATGGGTTTTTCTCAACCTCTTATGCCAATAATACAGCACT